GCAAGGACAAGGCCACTTGGCATCTTGACAATACCGTACTTTTTCCAAAACCTCACCCAGATCAAAGGAGGTTGGGTGTAGAGCGGTGGGGTTGCTCTCCCACCCTCCTCTGGGGCGGGGGTCGAGCTTGGCCAATGTAGACAGTGGGCAGACCCAACCTCCCCAGGCCCAGCCCTGAGTGGGCACTGACCCCGCCGCCAGCCGGCTCCGGACGCCGTCGGCCCAGCTGCCGCAGCATCTCCTCGCAGGCGGCGATGGTGTCCAGGAGCTGCCGCTGCCGCTGCTCCACGGCGTCCAGCAGCTGCTGGGCGCGCTCATCCCGGGGCGGCTGCGGGGGTGGCCTCCCGCCGAGCCCCAGCCCCGCCTTCCCACGGTCCACGCCGGCAGCCTCCCTGCCCAGGAGAGAGACAGCGTCAGGGCTGGCGCTGGGTGGCGCGAGGTCGCGGCCCCAACCCACCGTCCCGCGGGCCCGCTCTCACCCCCGTGACCAGGCTGCGCCCGGGCCCCACTCCATCGCCGCCCGACCACCACCCCCCTGCCGGCCGCCCCCGCCCCGGCGCCACGCGACGGCTCAGCTAAGCTGTGCCCCGCCCCGTCCCCACCGGTCTCCTTCAAGTCGCCTGGGGGTCGCGGTCCCTTTAAGCTGCCCGGCGCGGAGGCGGGGCCGAGCCTCGGGGGCAGGAAGTCGGGCGCGTGCGTCACTTCCTCCCGGAAGCGGGTCTGGGCGGATGTCTACTGCGCGTCCGTGTGCGGGGCTGAGGGCCGCGGTGGCGGCCGGCATGGGGCTGAGCGACGGGCCAGCGGTCTCTGGCCGCAGATGCCGCCTTCTACGCCCGCCCGCGCCCGCTCCGGCGATGCCGGGGGCCCGGCTGTTGCGGCTTCCGGAGAGCGGGGCCGTGCAGGCCGCCAGCCCCGAGCGCTCCGGTTGGACCGAGGCGCTGCGGGCCGCCGTGGCCGAGCTGCGCGCCGGCGCCGTGGTGGCGGTCCCAACTGACACTCTGTACGGTCTGGCCTGCTCGGCGAGCTGCTCGGCGGCTCTGGACTGCGTGTATCGCCTCAAGGGCCGCAGCGAGGCCAAGCCGCTGGCCGTGTGCCTAGGCCGCGTGGCCGACGTCTACAGGTGAGGCCGCCCCGACCCGGCCCCGCTGGGGGCGGCACCGCGGGAGGGGTTTCCGGTGACAGGCTTGGGAGACTGAGGCGCCGAGTGCGGGAGGGGCTTGTCTTGGCTCACCAAGGAATCCGGAACTGGTAATATGTTGGGAGAGCTTAACGCGTGCCAGTCCGCAGTAGACTGCACTGGTCGGAACGCTGAATGAGACGAGCGTGGCACTGTTCTCCTGGTGCTCTTGTGATGTACCGAGCGGAGGCCCGCGGGAAGAAGGAATCGCGGTAACCATTTAGAAGGAGTGTCTTCCAGATGATAACATAGTTTGAGGTTGTAATCACGGTGTCACGGCGCTGTGGTTATTGTCTCCAAGACAGGTGTGTGGACTTTTAAGTCCGGGGTACTTCTCTGGAGTCCTGCCTTGTGCCAAAGCTCTGAGGAAGAGAAGAAGGGAGGCTGGCTGCTCTCGTTGTACACCCAAAGGACCCCTTTCCTTCAGTTCAGGAAAGGTCCGCCTGGGTGATTGGAGTGGGTTTGTGCTACCAGGTACTGTCAGGTGAGAGTGCCCAAGGAGCTCCTGGAGGACCTGTTGCCAGGACCAGTGACCCTGGTGATGCAGCGCTCCGAGGAGCTCAACAAAGACCTGAACCCCTTTACGCCTGTGAGTCACATTCGGGTTTCCCTGCGATCGGAATCAGACTCCTTCAAGCCCTTGAAACCTTCCTCACACTTCCTTTTTCTCTTGCTTCATAGCTTGTTGGCATCCGGATTCCTAACCATGCCTTCATGCAGGACTTGGCCCAAATGTTTGGGGGACCGCTTGCACTCACCAGTGCCAACCTCAGCTCCCAGGCCAGTTCTCTGAGTGTCGAGGTGAGGATTGGCCCCAGCAGGCTAAACTTCTGTGTCCCCAGAACCAGTAAAGCTGATGCTGCACTGGGATCGCCTGGCAGAAGTTTGGGGCTTTGGTGCTGCAATGAGAAGGCTGCCCATTCGGTATGGTTTAGAGGAGGGCCTCCAATTAAAAGGGTCTTGAAAGGGCGCAGATGGCACATACTTATAACGCCAGCACTAAGAGGCCAAAGCAAGAAAATCTTTTATTTTTTTTTCCTCTTTTTCCAAGATAGGGTTTCTCTGTGTAGTCCAGGCTGACTTTGAATTCATAGAGATCCACCTGCCTCTGCTGGGACTAAAGGCATGCATCACCGACACCTGGCTTTTAAAGTTTTTTTTAATGATTTATTTATTTTATGTGCATTGGTGTTTTACCTGCATATAAGTTTGTGTGAGGATATCAGATTGGAACTGCAGCTGTGAGCTGCCTTGTGGGTGCTAGGAATTGAACCGTGGTCCTGGAAGAGCAGCCAGTGCTCTTAATTGCTGATCCGTTTCTCCAGCCCCCAAAATTTTTTTTTTAGTGTTGGAAAGTTTTATCTTGAGAGGCCAGGGAAGAACAGGTGTATTAGTATCTGTAATAATAGATAAAAAAGATGCTGGAGTGGGGCTCACACCTTTAATCCCAGCACTTGGGAGGCAGAGGCAGCCCAGTCTCTGAGTTCAAGGCCAGCCTGGTCTACAGAGCAAGTTCTAGAACTTCACAGAGAGACCCTGTCTCAAAACAAAGCAAAAATAGAAATAGAAAAGATGAGCAGAGTAAAGACAGCCTACTGAGAGAGGCAGTTGTCAGACTTGACAGCAGGGCTGAGAACTTGGGGCTCTGAAACTGTTAGTTCACTTCCTTGTCACATAGCCATTAAATGACAGTCCCAACTTTTTGCCAGTTTTTTTTCCTTGCGTGTGTGTGTGTGTGTGTGTGTGTGTGTGTGTGTGTGTGTGTGTGTGTGTGTGAGACAGGTATGGAGCCTAGTGGGGGTAGTACCAGAGGAGGGTTAAGTTCTACCTTGTCAACCCTGGGCCAGTGCAGTCATTGTTTTATTAGTAACTGGTATTTATGATTCTCTTATCACCAAGACCCTGAGCTCACTGCATTGGGGACTCCTCACTGGGAGCAGAAAGACTCTGGCTCATTTAACACTACAGCTGTCTGTCCACAGCCCAAGGACTAAGTGCTGGTGGTGTGTTTTTGCAGAGTCCACCCTGTTTTCTTCTCTATGCTCTGAACTTGACTTCCATTGAGGTCTAGGATCTGGCTGCTAGAGCTAGAAAGTGTCTTGGCTGGCCCTCTCACTTTAGGAACCTAAATGAAGTAATTTCATGCTTCACACAGATAGGATAGAAAGTCCAGGGTTAAAGCCCACATCTCAGTGCTCATACCCAGTGTGCCACTTACTGGACCTAGGCCTCCACAGCCCCTGTAGTATAAGATTCCTTTTGGTACATTAAGGTTTTCTTTATGAAAGGTATAACTTGGAATGCATACCTAAGAGGGCTACAGACTTGGTGTTAATTGTGCCCTTGACATAGCTGAGCATAACTAAGGTTTCTCCTCTGCTTAGAGGAAGATGCCTGGATTTAAATGTGAGCCATGTATTCAGGGTGACAATATGGTCATGCCCTACTTTTCCCTCTTTTCAGGAGTTTCAAGACCTCTGGCCTCACTTGTCCCTGGTCATTGACGGGGGACCAATTGGGGATAGTCAGAGCCCTGAGTGCCGCCTTGGCTCTACTGTGGTTGACTTATCTGTGCCTGGGAAGTTTGCCATTATTCGCCCCGGCTGGTGAGTCTTTTTCCTTTTGGAATATGTGAAGGATGTTGGAGAAAGAGTAGCTTTAACTACAGACTTTATTGGGCTGGAGAGATGGCTCAGAGGATAAGAGCACTACCTGCTCTTCCAGAGGTCCTGAGTTCAATTCCCAGCAACCACATGGTGGCTCACAACCATCTGTAATGGGATCTGGTGCCCTCTGCTGACCTGTGGGCATACAGACATATGCTATATACATAATAAATAAATAAATAAATAAATAAATTTTAAAAAACTACAGACTTTTATCTCCATCTTGGCATTGGTTGGGGATCACTGAGGGCCTCACCATAGGGAGGTGGTGAGTGGGATGGGACTAAATTTGCTGGTATGGCTGACTTTTTAGGATTCATCAAGTTTGATTAATGAAGCATGGGACAGTAATCTTTAGTGGTTACTCTTCAGACTGGTGGGCTCAGTGCCCTGAGAAATCAGATTGTAACTGCCTTCTATGTCTTCCACAGTGCCCTCGAAAACACTACAGCCATCCTCCAACAGAAGTATGGGCTGCTCCCTTCCCAGGGGTCATGCTCATGAAACTTGGGAGGACCCAAGGACCATGCTGGATACTATGTGTCTGCTCACTGGTTGGCAAGGCCTCATTGGCAGAGGCTCCTGGAGCTATACCTGTAACCTGGCTTTTTAGGGAGCATCTCCCTCTCTCTGAACACTGTAGGCCAGAAGTTGCAGGTTGAGCCTTGTAGACTCATATATCAACCAAAAAAATTGAACAAAGGTAAGAACATTCTTAGAGCAACCTTATTATTTCAGGGCCTGCCTTTTAAGTTGAAAGTAAATTGGGTACAGAGTTAGAATGTATTAAGAGTTTGTTTCAGGGGAGAGTGGCTCTTCATGCCAAGCCTGCTAGAAGCACTAGTGCAGTCTAAAAGTCTCAGGACCAATGCAGCAAAGTCCAGAAGCCCAAGACAGCTTTCCTGGCTACCAGAGGTCATTTTAGGGAAATTATCCTAGGGGATCTCACGTGAAATAATACTGGAAAATAAAATCTTGACCGTTTTCAGCCAGTGACTTTCTTATTTATTAATAAAATAAATTATATGGTTCTGTGTGTAATTTATTTAGATTCCTTGTTTACTCAGAAGACTTTGTTCATATGTGTGCCATATATTCTACAGAATTATTTTTGAGTGTTTAAGCTGTATTTTTATTATTAAAAATGCTGCTACAAATAGTTTGTAAATGGTTTATTTTTCTTTTGAACTATTTCCTTAGGGTAGCATTTCTAGGTCAAGGTATATATGTGCATTATGGCTATTGATGTAGATTAGCCTTTAGAAGATCTTAGTCAAGTTTCATTGAGGATGCCTGACCCTTCCTGCTGGCCTTGCTGTATCCAAGCTGTATGTGCGTGAAATGAAATTAGGACTGGGTAGATCAAGCCCTGTTGACTAAGCTACAGGCTTGGGTGGCCAGCTGTGCTCATCCCTCAGGTGGGGTTTAGTGTCAGTAAATGGGCTGGTTGTCCTTGAAATGACCTATATTCCACCTCATCCTCCCCTACTTGCTTCCCTTTCCCAGAGTTACGGCTCAGCCTTAGCCTGTAAGCCAGTACAGCACTTTTCAGTTTTTCAAGTGTATTTTGAGAATCTTGCTGAAAAATATTCCATCGGTCTTAACTTTACAAGGATCCTTGCAGTTATCATTAGTTTGTTTATAAATAAGTACTGGCTGATTAACTTCCCTCTAGAAATCTTACATAAACTATTAATTTAAGCAAATTCATCTCCATTGTGCTAAAACTAGCCAGCCCAGCCGTTTGCTAATTTGTCACAGACTGACCTACAGGTCAGCATTTATGAGGGCCACAACAGGAATGTGTGCTGGCAAACATCACTTCATATTTAATACAAATCACAGCACTGAAAGTGGCCCTAATGGGTGGCCTCCCCAGCCTAGACAGCTGAAGGGAGAGTGACCTAGTGTTCTCTGCAGCTGTGTGTTCATCTGGGAAAGGCTCTGGAGCACAGAGGTTTTTTCTTGGAGGAAAAATAGCTGAACTCCCAGGCCTGGGCATAGCTGCAAAGAACAAAGCAACCAAGGTGCTAGCTGCATAGCTACACCAAAAGCAAGATATCCTGTAAGCTCAGGAAGGGAACTTGGACCAAATTCCCCAGCACCTGACAGCAAGGTGCCTAGTAATGAGTGGATGCTCTGTGCTTCCTGATCATGTAGCACAGGAGTCTACTGGAAGGACCTCAAACAAAGTCTCCTTTTAAAGGTGTCAGATTGAGCAGGAAGATGTGGGAAGGTGCCTGAGGAGATGTAGGCTGTCCAAAGGAAGTAAGGTGCATGCTAGCTCAGAACCCTGAGACCTTTTAAGCACAGTAGCTGGCAACTCCCCTATACAACCTGCCACAGCTGAGAGCTAAAGGGTGTGGAGCTGCCCTGAGTAGTGTGCAGCCTCCGCCAGCCGCCTTCAAGCCTGCTTCCCAGCCCCAGAGCCAGGCTCTGTTGTACACGCACTAACTGGCCCACCTACCCACAAGCACCCAATTGCTACTTGGGACTAGTGTGTGCCTGTATCCTCAGCTGAACCAGCTTGGTGACCTAAGGTGTGAGTGGTGACCCTCACATCAGCCACTGCTCCTTTTCCTTGATGAAGTGCTCTGCCCAACGGCGAGTCAGCTCCAAGTATAGGCTGGGCTGGTGAGGCAGGTAGTCCAAATAGAGGCGAGTTGGCGTCTTCTTCGGAACAGCCTTCTCAATCTGTGTGCCCTCATGCCACTCATTGAAAGAGGTGATGGAGACGATCTCGGGCCTCACGGTCAGGGCTGCCTGAAGGGCTGTCTCATAGTACTTGCCATTGACTCTGTTCCGAGTATTATGGTTGTTCCAGGGCCGGATGCTGGTGTCAATGTACCCAGGCCCCACGCTAGGAATGAACATCAGATTGTTGGTATCACAGAAGTTCTTCACAGCTTTCCAGTTCTGATGGGAGGAGCCAAAGGAGAATCCATTGGAGGCAAAGTAGGTGTACATTCCATCGAATCCAGCAGCAAGGATATCATGGGTGTGGCCCTCCTCCACCAGCAGCGCTATAAAGACCCCATCATAGGGAGTGTTGCGGATCGAATGGGGCCCGTTTTGTGTCAGGAGGTGGGCCCAGGCCTCAGGGGATGTCAGATATGAGTCGTAGATATAAAAGAGCGGGAGACTCTTGCCCATGCTGTTCCTATAACGGTAAAATGCACCATGGGACCCATACCTGAGGAGCAGGAGGGAGAGGCTTCAGTTGGTTGTGAGAAGCCAGCACAGCTGGAAGATCAGCCACAGGGGAGATCTTTTTTCTGTGCTCACAGCGGTCTAGAATTTAGCAGGTTACATGTTGAGCTTCCGCCCCAACGGTTAACCGGCCTCCCTTCCCAGACCTCCCTGACCTGTCTGTCATCCCTAAGTCCTTCTCCCGAGTCGGGCCACCACATCTTCACCTGGTTTTACAGAAACAGTATCCTACTTGGTGTCTAGATTTCCATTCCTGCCTTCCTATAGGACCTGATCTGACCACTACTTCCTGTGGCCTGTCAGCATGCCCCTGTGTGATATGAACTTACTATTTTCAGACTCCCCTCCCCTGGCCTTTTTACCAACCTTTATATGACCTTGGTCCATCTGCCAGTTCTCTCTCTGCCTACGGTCTTCCCCCTTCCCCTGGATCTTTGCAGGGATAACTTACTTTATTATTCGAGACAGGGTCTCACTATGTAGCCTTGAACTCAGTAAGTAGACCAGGTTAGCCTTGAATTAAAGGTGTGCACAGCATGCCCAGCTAGAGCTGACTTACTTTAAAAAACAATGTTGAAGCAGGGATAAGTGATGGGTCTGGGAGGAGTTAGGGAAAGGAATAGGAAGAGTGAATATGATTTTTAAAATTACTCTCAATATATTTTTTAGAAGAACTATTTTGCTAGAGATGGCTCAGAAGTAAAAGAACAATTGCTGCTCTTCCAGCGGACCTGAGTTCTGTTCTTAGTGCCTACATTAGGCGACATGTAACATGCCTGCAACTCCAGCTTCCTCTTCTGGCCTCCATGGGCACACACAGACACACACACATATCAGTAAAAAAATAAAAATCTTATAAAAAACTTGTTGGGTATTGAATCCAGGGCCTCAGGCATGATGGTACATGCATGCATGTAGCCCTAGTGCTTGAGAAGCTAAGGACAGCGGACCAGGAGTTAAGGGTCACGTTCAGCTACATAAACAGCTCAGACAGAGCCTAAACTGTATGATACGATACCCTGTCTCAAAAACAACAGAATTCCAAGCTCACTCATTCCTTTTAGCTTAACAACCGTATTCTATCTCAGTTCTGGGAGCTTCGGACTCTACCATCCAAGTGCCTAACAAATTTGGTTCTTGGTGAGAGCTCTCTCAGCTGGCAGATGGTCACTAACTTGCTGTATACAGCTCACATGGAAAGCAAGAGTCAGCACACAGGCTAAGTGTTCTCAGAGAAGCATATGTCACCACCCATTCTAAAGTAACCCCTTGAGGGCTGGGACATAAGGAACCTGCTCATGCATGCAAAGGACCCGGGTTTCATATTCAGAACCATAAAGGAGGGAGGGAAAAAACTTCCTTGGGCACATTCTTAACACACAATTTCCCTTTACTTTTTATTTATTTTCATGCTGCAGATTGCTGTGGTTTCTCACTTCTTGGTTGGGGAGCTCTGCTGCACCCCCAACCACTAAACTATAAGTATGAAGTCAGAAACTCCGCTAAAGATAATAGCTGTATGTGTGCACACTGCACAGTTTTTCAGTGAATATGTACCAGCATGTATGAAGCACCTACGTTCTAAAACAAGACTCAATTAGGGCCCAAGAACTGAACCTGAAACTGCCTGACTCCAAACCTAGCACCCTCAACTGCTGGGAACACATGCATTCAGCCCTTGCATTGCCTGACCTGGCCCGCCAACCCTTCTATGCCTACTTCTATCTAGATTCCCATCTTACGTGTCAATGATGTACTTGATGTTGTCATGGACAGTGATGTCATCCCGGCCCTTGTAGGGTTGGATATGGAAGGCCACCTGCCACAAATAGAGGAGTTGCAGATCAGGTGAATGTTCAGAAGCACAACACAGAGCTTAACACCCCCAGCCATGGCTTGTAGGGAGAGACTGAATTCAGGAAAGCATGGTAAGGATGGGCATTACAAGGCTGACACTGTCTTCAAGTCAAACATGAAGGGTAAAAATTTGTCAATGTCCCACAACAGGGCATCCAGGAGTCATTCTGGGGTCACTGCAGGATGGTCCTAAGGTTTCTACCTCTATCAGCTCCAATCATGAACACCATGAATGCCTACTCTGCCATTGGAAAATGTGCCACAATTTGTTAAACCTGCCAGTGGTGACCTCGGGAAGATGAGGGGGTTTCTCTGTCAGTTTTCTTCCTTCAGCACAGATGTAGGAGCTGACTTCCTGTTGGTGTGTTTGAGGAGAATGGCTGCACACATATCCTTCCCCTCGAAGGGGGCCCTGCATGTGGAGGCCCAGTACTGTCCTCCACTATGGAGTGGAGTCTGGAATTCTGTCTGCAGATCCATTTGGCTCTTGCCTACCCAGTGTCCAGGATCAAAAGTCTCCAACCTAACCTAACATATTATTTAATAAAAGTAAAGGGACTGGAGTGATGGCCCAGCAGTTAAGAGCACATGCTGCTCTTTCAAAGGACCTGGGTTGCCAGCACCCATGTCAAGTGGCTCACAACGAGGTCCATGGGGATCCAATGCCTGTGGCCTCTGCAGGCATCTGCATACATCTGTACATGCCCACACACAGATAAACACATACATAAAAAATTTTAATGCAATTAAATATAAAAAGTGATATTTATAGTCTTCCATTTGTTCCCTACTTAGTTTTCTCAAAATTAAAGATTGTAGCAGTTGACATGGCACACTTACTATGTTTGCCATCCTCAGCACTAAACTGTGTGGCAGAAAAGGGCCACTCTCCAGAATGAGAACTTGTATGACCTTTTGAACTCACCTGGATGTTGTACTGATGGGCAGTGTCCAGAATGGCAGGTACCAGATCGTCTGAGGGCTCCCCATTGTCGTCAGCCATGCCAGGTGGGTACCAGGAAAGAACCAAGACTCCTACACAATACAAAAGCCCCTTCAGTGGTACACAGTGTGGCTCCCTATCACCAGCAGAGATTTTCTTAGAAATTATCTTCTACTGCATGGTTCCTGAAAACCTTGAGCCAGGATCCTGCCAGCTTCCTGGGGACAGACCTGGGACCCATAGCTAAGCATGCCTCGGAGCTGTCCACACCAGCAGTGCTGAAATTCTGTAGCCAAGGCTGCAGAAGTGCATGCATCATCAAGTAGCAGAAGAGAGGGGGAAACAATGGCAATGCCACACTCACCTGGAAACCACAACCCTAACTCTGGGGTCCTATCTGAAGAAAAGCCCTGTGAAGAAGTCCTATCTTCGTGCTTCCCATGGGAGAGAGCACTTGCCTTAACTGCCCGTCTAGAAAGCAAGTCTGGGCAGAAAAGCCCGCATCTCAGCAGTTATCTGTGTATGTTCGTTCGTTCCCTCCTTCCCTCCTTCCCTCCGTCCCTCCCTCCTCTCTCTCTCTCTCTCTCTCTCTCTCTCTCTCTCTCTCTCTCTCTCTCTCTCTCTCTCTCAAAAATCTAAGCTAGGTGAGCCTCCCCACCCCAGCGTAATGCAGAAGGTTCTCCAGGCAGGACCTCTTGATGAAAGCTCCTGTGGTGTGTTGTACCCACACTCAGCCCTGCTAGATCAGCCATATAGCTGTTGCACTCTCCTGCACCTGCTGTGAAAGTAGAGGCCTCCCCAGGCTCTCCTTCGAGCCCCAGACTTGAGGGGCCAGGTTCTCCACTCTCCCGAAACCTGGAAGGACAACATACTTAAAGCTACTCTTCTTACTGTCCCTCCTCGGAATAGTTTTAACACACACACACACACACACACACACACACACACACACACACACACAACCAACTCTACCCTAGGAAGGTCCCTGGGGTTGTTGAGAGTAAGAAAGGCCCAGAAGGTACAGTGGAAAATTAGAAGTAAGGGGCATGGTGTGTAGTAAGCCCGGGATGAGGACGAGAGGGAAGGAAGGGCTACGAGGTCAGGAGAGAGTGGGACCAGGGGCCCTGTGGCGGGGCATCAAGAGCTGAGGTGCAGGACGGAAGGGCGAGGCTGGGGACTCACCGATGGCAGCTTCTTTGAGCTGGGTCATGTGATCTCGTAGCACATCGGGATCCCGTGAGCTGTACGGCCCCAGTTCCGGGTAGAAGCTGGAGCCCAAATCCTCTGGAGGGCTGTGGCGGCCACGCGGGTAGCTGGCCGAGATCTTGGGGTCCCAGTGCGGCACCATGACATGGTCCCAGTGAACATAGTGGCCCTCGCGCCGCGGACTCCCGTACCACGAATAGTAGAAGGCGTGCAGGTCGGAGTAGACGTGCAGGCTCTGCCGGGGCGCGGGATCAGCCTCGGCGGGGCCCAGCGAGGCGCGAGGGGCGGCGGTGCGTGGCGGCGGCGGCGGCGGGGGCGGCGCGGCGGGGGCGGCCGGGGCGCGGGCAGGCGCGGGATTCCCCTCCGGACGCCGCTCGAAGGGCGCTAGCTCCGGGCCCGGGCCCAGCGCGGGCAGCCCGTCCGGGGCCTTTAGCGTGCGCAGCCCCATGAGTGTGCCGAAGGCGAAAAGCAGCACCAGGAAGAGGGCGATGCAGGCACGGCGCCGCCGCCGGGCCATGGCTTTCCCGCGGTGCCGGCCACCGCGCTACCGGCCCCGGAGCCGCGCCATCCCTCCCGCTCGCCCGCCCGCCCGCGCGTCCCAGGCCACGGCCGGCTAGCGCCGCGCGCCCAAGGCGGCTCCGCGCCCGTTCCCCGCAGTGCGGGCGGGCCCAGCACACACAAGATGCAGTGGCACCGACCAAGTGAGAGCCAGTGGAGGGGGGACCAGGCAGAGGAGCGCGAACCCAGCCCGGCGCCGGCGCAGAGTCCCGGGACGGGTGCACCTGGGGTCCGGGTGGTATGTGCACCCCACAGGTAGAAGGTCGGGCCAGAGAATGGGAACCGAAGATCTCTCAGCCTCCTTACCGAGCTCTCCTTCCACTGAGCTCTGTCATCATCACCCCAGTTCGCTAGAGATCCCCAGTACTAGAAGAGGGGCGTTGGGCCACCGTGCAAACTCTGGCTGGAGCCAGGAACCTAGTGAAAGGCCTCAGCTTGCACTGCGGCCTAACTCCCCTAGCCAGGCCTGGCTCTCCTGTGCTCCCGGCACAGTAGTGCTGCCTAGAACTGGCCATCTATGCTCCGTCCCCATTCTTCCTCATCTCTGCTTTCCAGCACCCCTCCCCTCCCGCACTGAGATTGAGTACAGGGCCTTACACTCATGCTTGGCAAGAATTCCACAGCAGTGAGTTCAATCCTCTTTGCTACTCTGCATTTTGAGACTAAGTTCCCTAGACTGACCTTGAACTCGGTCTACAGCCCAAGCAAACCACCGACCCTTCTACCACTGCTGAAGGTGTGAGCCACCACTCCGGGATCGTTTATTGTTCTCTGAGATGAAAACTCACAATGTAGCCGAGGCTGGCCCGAAATTTTCTGTATGGCCCTGGTTAGTCTTGAACTCAGGATATTTTTGCCTTTGGCTCCAGACTGCGGTATCACAGGCATGCATCACCACGCCTGGCTTCTTGCAACTATAAAAAACATCCAGAAGCCTTCGGTACACTTCCTATCACTTCTCATTAGCATAAATTGTATCACATTCATGTTGGAGCCAATCCATTGCCAAGGCCAATCAGAAATGTGAACGAAATTCAAAGGACTCAAGAGTCTGTGGTGTCTCCTCGCCTTTGCAGAGCTAGGGCTCTGTGGAGAAGGTAAGAACAAGTCAACCTTCTGACGCAGGAGTACAATCAACAGCGGAGGCAGGGGTGGCCTACTCACTGTGCTGACGTACTGCGAATATACACAGGTAATCAGCCTGAAGTCAGGGCGTCGGTCACCCAGCCCAAAGAAAGCTGGTGGATGGAAGTCTACCTTCCAGGCAGAAAGAAGGCCAAATAACTACAGAGGAGGGGAAGAAAAGCCTTCAAGGAAAGGCTTATCTGTTCTGACACCACATTGAGGTCCTCGGAGGAAGCCGGTATTTACTGAAAACCCGCTCACACCACAGTGAAACAGGAGTTATCAAAGCAGTCCATGCTTTCAGATGCTAAGTGAAGGTGAAAACAAGCAAGAAGGAGCCATTGAGACGGTTCAGTGGGTAGTGGTCGCTGTTGCCAAGCCTGATGATCTGAGTTTGGATTCAGGGACCCCCGTGGTGGAAGGAGAGAACTGAGTTCCATAAGTTACCCTCGGACCTCCACATTCATCCCTACACATGCACACCCCACCCATGATACGCACACAGAAGTAAATTAATGTGACTTTTAAAGAGCCATCAAACGAAAGAGAGCAGATAAAAGGAAATGGAAATGCTGTGGCTTACAGATAAAATACTGGTTGGACATGGTGTCATGCAGCTGTGGTCCCAGCACACAGGACACTGAGATGGGAAGTTTGAGTTTGAGGCCAGCATGAGATGACCAGTAAGAGATAGTTTTAAAGATCAAAACAAACCATACAATAAAATATTACGTCTACATCAGTGCTTCCAACCTGTGGGTTTTGACCCTTATCAGATATTTACATTATAATTCATAACAATAGCGAAATTACAGTTATGAAGTAGTAATGAAATAATCTTATGGTTGGGGGGTCACCACATCATGAGGACCTGTATTAAAGGGCCCCTGCATTAGGAAGGTTAAGAACCGCTGGTCAAGCCGGGCGTTGGTGGCGCACGCCTTTAATCCCAGCACTCGGGAGGCAGAGGCAGGCGGATCTCTGTGAGTTCGAGACCAGCCTGGACTACCAAGCGAGTTCCAGGACAGCCTCCAAAGCCACAGAGAAACTCTGTTTTGAAAAACCAAAAAGAAAACCTCTGGTCTACAGGCTGGGGAGATGGTCAATTAGGAGCATTAGTTGCTCTTTCAGAATACCCCAGTTTATATTACAGCTCACAGCTGTCTGTATCTTCAGTTCTAAGGATTTAACTTCTTGGCTTCTCAGACACCAAGGATGTATGTAGTTCACAGATGCACATGTTTGCAAAACACCTATATGAATGATTTATTTTTAAAACATTGTCTAATACCCCAAAGATTTTATATTTTTAAAACAAGAACAGGTTACTATATAAGTTATGGAAGATGTTTATTAGACTGTAAGAAATATCTCTTGGAAATTAAAAACAATAGAACCCAATTTAAAATTTGATTTTTATTGTATATGTGTCATGCCTACTTATTATGTGTGTGCAGTGCCCAATGATCCCAGAAGAGGGCATTGAATCCCCTGGAACTGGAGTTGGATTCTTTTCCTATATTATGTTACAATATCAATTACATAATGTTAAAATTAAATTATGAATCAGAGCTTTTTTTTTTCCTAGAGAGGGTTTCTCTGTGACTTTGGAGGCTGTCCTGGAACTAGCTCTTGTAGACCAGGCTGGTCTCAAACTCACAGAGATCCTCTTGCCTCTGCCTCCCGAGTGTTGGGATTAAAGGCGTGTGCCACCATCGAACTGCTGAATTGGGACTTATAAGATAGTAAAGCTTTTGCTGCCAATTCTAAAGACCTGAATTAAATTTCTAGAACCCACTGTGGAAAGGGAGAATTCCCAAAGCTGTCCTCATACCTCCACATACATGTGCATGCTTGTGGCACACACACACCCAACACACATCTTTTTGTTGGTTTTTTTTTTTTTGCTTATTTAGCATGATTTATTTATTGAGTCTTTAGGAATTTCACATCATGTGCCCCAATTCTGCTCATCTCCCAGTCTCCTCATATCCACCCATCACTGCTGCAGAGTCCCCACACCAAAAGAAAAAAAAATTCAAAACGGGGGTTTCTCTGTGTAGCCCTGACTGTCCTGGAACTCACTCTATAGACCAGGCTGGCCTTGAACTCATGGAGATCTGCCTGCCTCTACCTCCCAACTGCTAGAATTAAAGGCATGTGCCACCACCACCCAGCTAAGAAAAAAATCCTTTTTAATTGAAAATATTAAATCCAAACAAAACAAGTGAGCAAGCAAACAAACAACAACAAAAACCCTCCTCCATCTTTCCCGTCTCTCCAAGACCTCTTCATTCATCCTGGTGGCATTGGGAACTGCCATGTATCCGATCAGCTTTACTTGCAAATGCTCATTGCAATGAATCATTGGTCTGGTTCAAGGCTTCTGGTTCCTAGTACACCATCATCACTGAATCCTCACTGAAACTCCTCTCAGATATCTTGCAACTTCCTGAGTCATGGAGATCCTGCGGGTATCATTCCACAGGACCAGTCCCTTCATGAGCTCCAGCAGGCCCTATATGGGGTAGATGTTAGGGTACACCAACCCAAGGCCTGACTGTGGGCCTGGGTGGTTGCTGAACAGGTTAGTCCTTGCCATATCGAGGGGCAGAGCTGGCTTTCCTATGTCAATGCCATCAGTGATGAGGGGTGTGGAGGTGTGGGGGGGCAGGGCCAACTTTTCCAGGGACAGTGAGGGTGGGCAGGCTTAGCATGGCCTTCTGATTTCATCATACATAGTTTCTATGGCCCCCTGCTAACACACACATCTTACAATAAAATTTTAAAAAGAAGTTACAGGGCCAGTTAAGATCACTTGCTGCTCTTGCACAGTACCTGAGTTGGGTTCCCAGCATCCCCATGATGCCTCACAACCATCCATCCCTAAGTCCAGTGCTCAGTGGATCTGACACCCTCTTCTGCACTCCATAGGCAGCAGGCACAAACATGGTGTGCACACAAAAATGCAGACAAAGCACACACAGGCATAAATAAATCTAAAAGAAAAAAGTTTTTGGTTTGTTTGGTTTTTTCCAGACAGGGTTTCTCTGTGTAACAGCCCTGGCTGTCCTGTAGATCAGATTGGCTTCAGGTCATAGAGATCTGTTGCCTCTGCCTCACTGCCTGGTTCTTTAATTGCTTCTTAAACATACTGTGTTGATTCTACCTTTAAATCTACACTTCCTGCTCACATTTCATCCATGCTTCAAGCCATCTTCCCTCCATGGTCTCCATCTGAATCTCACTTCCAAGGATGCTTGCTTGTTGACATCTTCACTCTTCTTCACATCCGTCTGGTATCATTTTTTCCCTCAATATATGTTTTTATTTAAATTAGAAACATGAATGCAGCCGGGCGTTGGTGGCACACGCCTTTATTTCCAGCACTCGGGAGGCAGAGGCAAGCAGATCTCTGTGAGTTCGAGGCCAGCCTGGTCTACAAAGCAAGTTCCAGGACAGCCTCCAAAACAATACAGAGAAACCTTGTCTCGAAAAACAACAACAACAACAACAACAAAAAACATGAATGCTTCACATGTCAATCCCACCTCCCTCTCTCACCCCTCCTCCCTTGCCCCTCCAACAGCCCCCCAGCCCCCCACATCATTCCCAGGGAGGGTGAGGCACTCCTTGGGGGATCTCCAAAGTCTTTCATGTCACCCAGGGCAGGACCTAGGCGCTTCCCAATGTATCCAGGCTGAGAGAGCATCCCTCTATTTGGAATGGGCTCCCAAAGATCATTCATACACCACGGTAAACACTCAGGCATCAGTCTGAGATTCAAGAGCTCCCCCTTATTTGGTCAGCTGTCTTTGTGGGTTTCACCATCATGGTCTTGATCCCTTTGCTCATCACTCCTCCATCTCTGTCACTGGGTTCCAGGAGTTCAGTTCAGTGTTTAG